CAGCAGGAAGTGGATTTTTGAAGGCTAAACTTGCTGTGGGAGAAGATTTGGTTCTTGGCACTAGAGATGAATTTTCACTTGCACAGACTCAAAATATGGAAAACAAAAATGTTTACTGTAGTGTGAAGAATTTTACATTAACTTTGAGAATAGATACACAAGCTGTGGCAGGGATGAAATACAACAGGACTGCAAAAACATAGAATAAAAAATACTTTGGGCAATACTAAAATTCCCATCAAATTAACAATATAAACTGACATTTTAGATAAAACGGTGCTTTCAGAAATGCTTAGTCACCAAAACTGAAGAGTCCTAGGATTTTTACTACCACTTATTAGCATAATTATCAGACACTACTACTGCCTAACAGCTGCTGGCAAAACATGCCCCGTGCCCTTTCTAGTTTTACTGAACACTTTCCCTAGGGCATTCTAAAATCCCAAGTCCTTTAACAGTTAGAAAACCCCACACAGTACAACCTACAGAGAAGCTTAAGAACACATTGTCAATCTACACTGGCAATTCCTTTTCTTCATGCATATTTCAAGGGCGAATCCCTTATTATAACTGTCCTGAAAACATCTATGACTCCCATTTTTGAGGGGGAAAAACCCGAACACTTAAAGTGCTGAAAAATAATACTTCACTTTTCAGAGGAGGGGAAGGGCAAGGGGCCAATCAACTCTTTTTGGTCACTGGAATCACCTGCAGAGTCCAGTCCAGACTCTGGAGGGTGGCTAGAAAGAGCTTAGCACTGCTGAGCGTTACCATCACGTTTCTGTCATCTGTCTGTCTCTTAACACTGGTTGTTACAGGCACGACTCATTTTATCCTTTCTGTGAGCACCAAGGGAAGAGTGAAGGCTTTCAGACCCCACACATGCAACAGCTTTCCTGTATACAAAATATTTCTACAGTTTCAGCATAATGCAGACAAATACAGATGTTTAAAGAATATGCCACTTGTATTCAAGAGATCCACTGTATCTAAAGAGCATTTCGTTCTACAAAACCGAAGCCAAACCGCTCTCTGCAAATGTCTGGCTTGAATTTCAGACCCCCAACTGGCATGAATTTACACGGGATCATCACTAGTTATTGCTTCAGCCAGGCTGCTACAAAACAATTTACAAAGTCTGTGAAATATGAGCACAGCTTAAACATTTGATAACTCGTCCGGCCTACAAAGGATTTACTGAATAAAAACTTCAGCCCTCCACATCAATTAAACTTCTTAGTGCAGTTTTAAGTTCTTCGAGTAAACGCTTACAATTTGGCATATATTATTGGCACAACGTTCTTCAAACACTTAGAAGTTCATGTATAAATATTTAGACTCCCACTAATCAGGACAGGGCACAAGAAGGACTCAGCCAATTTGGGCAGCTTTTCTGCCTGCGCATATTCCCTCTTTGATTTTCATGCACTGAAGGGAGAGCTGCTTCATTCGGTTATCCAGAGCCAGCCCTTCAGTGGAGCTGCTTCTGGTGCTGCTCCTATTCTTGTTCACTCTGTCGCTTGTCTTGTTCTCAGCCCCTTCTGCCCTATCCCCTGCAAAGAAAGGATTAAACTGGATGTTAAACCTGAATTTCATTCTGCAAATTAAGCTTCAAGCAGGTGCCTTTGCAGCTTCCTTTGCCAAAGCACACACAGATTACAGGAGCAGGAGCGAGATGCCTTAACGAAACCAAACTTGGCCTTCCAAGCTGTGCTCGTCTTGTGCACTGCAGCAGCAAATTAGTGAGAGCAGCCTTAGGTTGGAGCACACAAGGGCAGTGGTAATCCTCTAGTCTGAATTAGTCAGCCACAGCTGGCAGAGCCTGCAAGAGGTTCCTTTTGGCATGTTATTTTTTGGGCTTTTTTTTCCCCCCTGGAAGCAAGATTTTCAGCAAGCAGAACAGTAATTAAAAAAAAAAAAAAAAAAAAAAGAATAAATAAACCAGATTTTCCTTCAAATAAATGTACCATTGGAATCCCGTTGAACGCTTAATTCATGAGAAACCTCAAACCCCTCCACTGAGACAGAACTGGGGAACATCCCCAGCCGGGAGAACAATAATTAAAACACTTCAGACATCATTGTTAATTTTGATACATGGGGCCTTCAACAACTGCCTTCCCCAAGGAAGTGGCCAGCGGGTCAGGGCTCAGGGAGCTGCCACACACCTAGGGGAGCTGAGAAGGTTTTCCTGCTCCCTTTATAAAGCTGAAAAACATTGGCCCAGGGCGTATCCAGCTGTGCGTACCTCTTTCAGCTTCGCACTCGGGGGAGGATGCCCCGCTGCACTCGCTTCGGGGGCCGAGGACTGGAAAGATCATCCCAAACTCAGAGAGGGACACAGGGCTGGGCAGATCCAGGCTTCCAGGTCGTGTCGCAGGAGGAAACTGAGTGGGCACCTCACAGGGACTTGTAGGACCAGAGCTGAAGCTGGACACTGACTGAGTTTCTGAATCTTCCTCGGATACAAAGCTGCTGCCATTATCATCCTCAAACACTTCTGAAGCCACTGCAATTTCAAAGAATATTCCGGTTAGTAATCCTATCCAACTCCTGCACCTTCCTAGGCAAAGGCAGTGTCTCAGGTTTGCATCATACACAGACACTGCTAACCCATGGGCTGCCACCTCATTCTCTGTCCCTGTGCAAAGCCTCAGCCTGGTTCTGCTCTGAGGAACAGTGCACCTGCCAGCCAGGCCATGCAAGACCAGATCTGCAGTACCTACTGCTCCTCATGCCAACAAGCTCTTGGACTTTTACTGGCCCTGTTCCCCCTGCCCAGCTAGCCTTGTTCAGTCGTGGTCTTCAGTAGACAACTTAGGTGAGGGCCTAATCCCTTGTGTCCACCTCATTCGGCACCATCTCAGTCCTGAGGTTCCTAGTTCTTTATTGAAAAAATTAGAAAGACAAGGCTCACGGGACAGGTTGCTTCCACCTTATCTTCACACTTTTGGAGCTAAAATCCAGCACAACTCCCAAACTTTCTTTTAGGGTGAGGATCACCAAGCAATGCCTAATTAAAAAAAAGCCTCACCCACATATATTCTTTTCCCTGCCTGTGTTTGCTCAGATCTGACTTCTATAATTAAAGCAAACCAGCTCTGAATTGTATGGCTAGATTGAGCTGCAGTGCCATTACTAGCAACCAGAGGAGGAATCTATTAAAGAAGGTTCCATTTTGTTCAACATAGTGGTGTAGATTTGGCTAAAACTCAACATTTCAATTTTGGCTCATTGTGGGGTGGAGACCCTATGAGCCATAGATTTCTGCACACAAGTAACCCCACTGGGATCAGAAGGTTCTTTATGTGCTTCAGCCTCAACACAACAAAAGTGTGTACTGGAACCACACTGGTCTGAAGAAGTCCCACAGGCAGCAAGACGTGTACTGTGACCTGAGGTCATCTTCAATTCTGCCTCCTTGGGATTCCTGCTATTGTTAGTGAGGCTCAGAACTGCCTTGGAAGAACATCAGGACCAAAGCAGCAGTGTTCACAAAGTGGCTCAAAGGAGAAGTTTCAAAGTAGTTCCTCTGTTACCCCAGCAGCCTGGGGCTCGTGTGCACCGCTCGGACAGAGCGTGCCAACAGAGGCAGCCACCAACATGGTTATTGCAGAGATGTTCAGCCTCTTTCTGCTGGACTTGCAGATTGCAGAACTGTACATTGCAGAATTGACCTAAAAGGCTTCAAACATAAAATGGATAACAGCATTATCCACCTTCCTGAGCATCCTCCAGGTCACTTCATGCTCAGAGATGGTTTTTCTTGTGGTTTGGTAGTTGTTGTTTTGTTTTTAATGATGCCAAATCCAAGACTGCAGTGGCCTGTCTTCTCACATGCTAGGTTTTATCAATATATGGTAGGAAATACAGATAACTTTGCAGCGGGTGAAAGCAAAATAAAGGTTGGGCAAAAGAGATGTTTCCAATTACAGAGTCCTCTACTTGGCAAGAAGCACTAACATCAACCAGTCTGAAAGCAGCACAGCTTAAACTGTAGCTTACTTTTCACCATCTAAACTTGCCATAACACACAGGAGCATCTGCAAGGGCCAGGAAACTCTTGCTGAGGACAAGGTATTTTATTCAACTCCATCAGACAGAAATCATCTATAAAAGGACCTTGGTAAAAACCCCACACACATTATGATGAGAGCTTAACCCATCAAGGCTATTTTAGTTAAGTCTCACAGGCTGCTAAGTCCTGCCTCACTGTAACCCAGATCTGTGCTGGCACTAGACACAAGCTGAAGTTCTTTCACCTATGTCAGACTGCAGTTCAAAGAGAGGGATGAGCCCATGCTGCTGGTCCTTGCCTGCAGCCTCAGCAGTGGCCAGGAGAGCCAGCAACTGATTGCTCTGAATTAGCTTTAACTTTCCTGGCTCTTTCTGCCGTTACATACCAGGTCCCTGAACTCCTTCAGCACAAGAAAACCTTGAATCAGTTATACCTAAGGGTTTTGGAAGGCCTTCGGCATGAGGAGGTGGGAGGTGGACTTGTAGGTATCCAAAGAGGCAATTCCTGCCGAACTCAGAAAGGCTCAACCCTGGGACTTCAGCATGGCAGAAGATAAGCAGCCATACCTAGACCCCACTGCATCAGCTGGCCCAGACACTGCACTTGCTGCAGCAACTCAAGTCCCAGCTGCACAGTTCTGAGTGAGAGAGCTCCAACACATCACGTGAAAACTCCTGCCACTGGCAGAGAATGAAGGCCAGCCCAGGGCTGCCTCCCAGCTCCCATGGCACACACAGGCTGTACCACAGACTTGCAAGGCCTCAGTGTCTGTACACACCAGTGTCTATGGGGGATCTGTGTGTTCAGCCTTTGGGCACCAGGGCTGTGCAATTATGAACTCCTGTATTCCTGACCTAGACATTTCCCTGCAGGAATGGAACTGAAATACAAATTAAACTGGAATTTGTAGGACTGGGCAGCAAAAAAAGACTTTCTGCATCAAGAAGGGGTGATAGTGTCCAGGAGAGACAAAAGCAGACCACATGCAATGTTCATCCATCCTCTTTCACCCAGAGCCAGGACAAATGCAAACTCACAATATAACAGACTTTGCAACCCAAGGTCCCCCTATGCCATCAGAGAGTAGAGGTTATCTGGCTTGCTTGGAGCTTGCTAGGTGGTTGCTGTCACCCATCTCTCATACAGAGCCCCTCAGCACACTGCATCAGCATATTGCTGCTTCTTCACTTCTCTTGTTCACAGCACACATGCTCTGCTGAAATCACATCTTGGCAAAAGATTCTGCACTGCGAAGGAGCTTATCCTTACACCCTTCTGTGTGAGCATCACACCTTTCTGTACTACTGTAGACTCAACTTTACTCCCTCTGCCATAGGCCTAGCACTGGAAGACAAGCATTTGATCCAAAAGGTCTGTTCCCAAACAACACTGCCACCTCAGCAATGTGGCTGAATGATTTGTAACAGCCTGTGACCACCCCAGGCAAGTCACCAACAGCAGCATCACTGGCTTAAAAATTAGAAGCACACTTTGAAGTGCATTAATTTTGCTCCTTTCATACAGCACTGTACAAAAAGCAATAGCAATGCTAAGGCAAGAGCTAATGCACTTCAACTCATTACCCTTCCCCTTGAAACTGGCTATTAAAGAATGCAATCAACTCCTGTAATAACAAGAAGCATAACAACTTAGCCACAGTCCCACAACAGCCAGCAAATTTCAAAACTGCAGAATATGCAGAGCAACATTAATCTCAGCATTTCTTATGATGCCCATGGGATATTCCCAAACATGGCAGTGCTCTGTACTCACTGGAGACGGTGTCTGACTCTGGTTTACTTGCTGACAGGTCTTCCACAGAGGTATTGCTCCCTTCAGCACCCACACCACATCCTCGGGGCCCCATGGCAGTGGACCGTCTCCTCTCATGAATCTCATCCGAGATCATCTCCAGATTTTTCAAGGCAGTCTTATACTCTCCCTTTGCCAGGGCCAGTTTTCCCTGTAGGTCATCCACGGTTTTCTTCAGTTGCTAACAAGGAAGACAGGCATTAGATGGGCTTTCACTCCAAGCAATGTGCAGAATGCACTTCCCCGTTATGTGTTCAGGTGACTTGTCTCTGCATAGGCAAACTAGCATAAAGCAGGGCTGGTATCTAGGGAATGGGAGAGCTGGGAATTCAAAAGCACTCTAGCATAAGCAGTGGCACTTGTGAAGGAGACAACAGCAAGGCAAACCACTAGAGCCAAGGGCTGGGACAGCCTCTGGAGTGTGGTAATGGCCCCTGGCTAAGCACAGAGCAGTGCTCACTTGTTAACACACAGGATCTCTCATTAACACTAATGCAGCTCTGAACAGTATGTCACTGCTTATCCTCAAACCACCCCTAAAGGTTTGCTGGCAGCCCCTGTCTGCAGAGCACAGCAGGGCTGGGAGTCACTGCCTAACTCCTCACTGAGCACCAAACCCATCACTTCTTGGTCACTAAACCTGCAGACCAGAAAGACTCCACCCCTGACAGCTGTAATACTGCAGTTTCTGTGTCCCCAGATGCAAACAGGGTGTACAACATTTTCACCCTTGCTGTACAGTGATATTTCCCAAAGGGAAAGCACTGCTTGTGTATCTGTGGCTGTCTCAACACTGTTTTATGTTGTGCATTCAAAGCAATCCATGCTGTCTTTTGCATTATGGTTTACACAATCACCTCGCTTCAGCAGGGCACTGAGCAGCTGCCATGGAGAAGCAACAGGCCCCCAGACAGTGGGCCTTTACCCATGGAGAAAAGGGGATTTCTCAAAAGATGCCTCTAGCCAGAAGGGATTATTGGGCTGGCATCCAGCCCAGGACAGGCAAACGTTCAGCTCCATGCAGCAGCAGCAGCTGCTGACCACAATTACACTGGCAGGCAAGGCAGAGGAGCAGGGGGCACTTAGACCTGGATCCTGGCAAGGAAAAGCTGTGTGCCAGAGTCTCTGAGGCTTACAAAGAGCTGTTGCATCTCAGGCAGCCCAGTGAAGGGCTCACAAAAGACTTGTGGACACACCTTGCATCCCAGGCAAGAAATGGAAATCATCTTCTAGCTAGGCTCCTACTGACCTAGCACCCCACTGGAGCCTTCCTGCACCAGTGGCTAACAGTGCAAGGCAACATGCTCCACTTAAACCCTGTGCACATCCCACACAGCTACAGCACTGGCCAGTGCCCTTCAACTCGGAGGAGCCAGGCTCCCAGTTTTGGGGCCCACATGCAGCAAAATTCACGCAAGTAGAAACAGAGTGATCCATTTGAATTTGTAGGGCTACTTTGCTCTCCCACCCATGCAGGTCCAAGACTGGGGTTGTAATAGCAAGGATTACCATCCCATCCACAACTGTCATGCCCACACCCCAGGGCCACTGTGTCGTGCAAAGGCATGTGCTACACCCAAGCCAGACACCACTGCGCTACACAGAATGCAGTGCAGAGATGCCAAAAAAAAGCCCTGAAAGCCTATCCAGACAAACCCCAAATCCCATTTATGCCAAACCCAAATCAGAGATTCACATCTGTGTGATGTTTGAGTACTACAAGCAGGTTACTTGTTCTGTTAATTGATCCAACCAGATAACATGAAAGACCACCCCAAGCACAGTGAAGCAGTCTGAAGCATAAAACATAGGGAAAAAGCAAATATGAAACCCACAACAAACAAATAAACCCCAGACATTAAATTACGAGAAGTAAAGACAAACTGTATTTGTTTTGTTCTGGCAGTAAGCAGCAGGGTTCAAACACTCTTATTTCACATGAGGAGACAAAGCCTCTCCTAGTCTTTTATCTTTAAAATGTGCTTAGCAAATTGCTCAAGAGGTTTTGAATTGGTTTTATACAGAAACACAACACAGTTGTCGAGCACTTTAGGATGTAATTTCAGCATTTACCGTAAGCAGTAAAGAGTTTCAGATGGATCTGAATTATGTACGTACCTCTAGTTGGACATAGTACTTTGCTTTGAGTTCAAAATAAGGTCTGTGGAAAAACAAAGAACAATTGTTTACAATCACTGGGACTGAATGCAGTGTACTGGAGTGGGAGTTGCTCTCTTTGTAGCATTAACACAGCTATGTTGTGTATCACTGTAATCCCAAGAGACCACTATCTTGATGATAGAACACCTACACATGCTCTAAATGTCTCTCTTTTCCTCTGTAATACATCTATTTCTCATGGGTCTTTTGACCTAAATACAAATTGAAAAATTCCAGTTTTTAGAGTTGACAGCATAATTCCTTCAGGCCTAGATTCTGCAAGATATTTAAAAGCAACATTCAGCTTCAGACGTAGGCATCCTCTCTGTACCCATCTCATTTCTGAGCCCACAGCATATGTAAGTTCCCCACAGAAAGCGAACCTTAGACTTCCCCATGTTCAGATGTAGGGGGTGGAGAGGAAGTTTGTTGATTTCTCAGTGAAGAAAAGGGGATGAAGGGAGAACAGAGCACCGCACAAAAACGATCAACACTTCCCACCAGTGGCCCACCTGGCACTTCCCTCACACTGCACAGCTCTCCAACAGTCTGCTTGGACACACAGCACAGGGTCACACCTTGTCTGTTTCACACTTCAGACAACAAAACATTTTATAAGATTGCAGGAGGACGGGCACAAGAGGTGCAGTACGAAGCCTAGAAACCACATTCCAGCCTCAAAGTTTTGAAGCTCACAAGCCAGTGTCACCTGATACAACACTGAGCAGGAGGGAAAAAAATAAAGCCATTATTTTTCACCAGGGCTCACTACCCTCCTCACCTCTCAGAAGCTCTCATGGAAAGTAGGGGAGAAATAAACAACCAGATATGGTTTTATATGAAATAGAATGTGAACTGCCCTTGTCATATTTTCTGCTCTGACAGCAAACCTCTTCTGAGCTCTAAGTCCTACCGCAGCTGCATTTTGGACTGTGCACTAGAGTTCAGGAGTATAAAACCGTGTCTTTCTGATCCTCTATTCTTTGAGGAGTTGAATTCACTACACAGCCATACATAAAACAACTGAGTTGTGTTTCCCTGACAGTAGGTTATTTCCAGCTCTGATGTTTTTAACCACCTCCGCCACTATCACTAGGAGTGCACAGCCAAGTCTCAATGTCTCCAGTGACACTGATCCAGTCAAACTGCACCTCTGCCTTCCCTTGCTAGGATGTAAACCTTCCAAAGTCTACACAAGATGTGCCTGCCAGGCATGGGAAAACACTGTAGCTGGGAGTCTGGATCCAACAGGTAAAGGACTCCTACAGCCATACCCCAAAGCTATGGGTGGACAGACACTGACAGAATGGTGTTGCAGGAAAAACTCACCTCAAATGACCTGATTCTCTCCCTTACCCTAGTGCCAATTGAGAGAGAACAACCAGGTTTGAATCCTAACCTTCCATCAACTTCCAGAAGCCTGGGGGAAAAGTCACCTTTCTACCAGCAAACAAGCACATGTATGTTTGTGTGGTGTGAAAAAAACCAACACATAAATGCATGTGTGTGTGTACACAAATACATACACACACACACACGTATGAGCAGGCATGTTGACAGGTAACAGACAAGAAAGATGCCACCTAAGCCATGGAAAGGATACCAACAGCCTGACATGTAGGAGCTCGTATGCAAGCACTCTTCCTCACTCATCACTAACACACAGCCAGGCATCTGATGCCAGCAGAAAGCAGCACACTGCAGGGTAGGGACTTGCATCTCCTCGGGTCACTTCATTCCCTGACACCCATGGCCCTGTAACTATTGAAAGCTGGTCCATGACACAGCAGGGCAGGTGAATCATTCACTGATGCAATTGGTGTCCTACATCAGTTGTCTAAGTCCATGGCACTGCACAAAGTGCTTTTTAAGCAGATGACAGGAAGAGTGAAAGGTGCTTTGCCCAAGCCACTGGAGCAGAAAGTGACTTCCAAAAAGCAGCTAACACAGGCAAGTTCATTATCCTACAGCTCAGAGGCACTGGGCCAGAAGATCTGGTGACTGTTAAGAACGTGCAGCAGTGTGCACATTCACAGCTAACAAGCAAGTAAGCATCCAGAAACAAAATTAAAAGCAAAGTCAAAACAAAACTATCCAATAATCATTCCCTCATCAGCTTTACATGGCAAATCATCTAAATGACTTTCCTCCAGGCTCTCCCAGTCTTACTTTCAAAATAGTAATGCTTTAAGCATCTTAATCCAGACTGAAGTGATGAGGAAATGCAAATCATTCAAAGAGCAACTCATTCAGCATGTCTACCCACAAGTTTATGGAGAGAGAGGATGGACAAACAGGCCTAAAAGGCCCATGTGTTACAGCCAATGCTCCCATACCACCCAGGGAGAATGACAGAGCAGGATGCTCGTGTTAAATCCTTCGTGAAAAGCAGGTAATAGCCAGCTACACCCTACAATAGAAACAGCTGCAAATTCAGCAGCCTCATTTCCCAGTTTTATGTAGCCTCTTGACAGCACTGATGCTTTCGGCTCAGTTTCAATTTTCCTTTATGCAAATATTGCAATGCTAAGAGATGACTGACCTTTCACCATCCCTGTGTAGCATGACTTCAAATACTTCCACAACTGCTTGTGTCATCAGGCATCCTCCCCTTCAGTACTAGGTTAGAAGTGGCATTTCCGTACACCCCTTGTTACAGGCTCTCCAAAACACCCTGCCTAGGTTGTTTATGCTGCAGTTGGCCCAGCTGTGAGACATAGGAATATCTTTGTATCCTTCCACACAGGTGAAAACCAGCTTGTCCCAAGGAGAATGACACAAGACAACACCCCTATGAGGGCAGTTTCAGCAAGGATATGAAGACTCAGAGGCAAATCACACAAGAGGCAGCTGGGGCATCAGGCTCTGCACCAGCATTATAAAAACTATAGGACCCCACTAACAACTTAATCGGGGCCTTTATTTTAAACCTTATTGTAAGGAAGGAACTCACAGAAACCACTTCTCAGATATCACTCTTATCCAGAGGAATCTGTCATTTAGTGATCTGGTGATGGTTTTCACAGTCCCTGTGCAGTGCTAGACAAACAGCATGCAGCTCATTCTAGGAAGGCATGCCCCCCCACTCTTTCAGCAAACATGCTTGAATCGTGCTTGAGAAGTGCTAATCCTTTCTTGAATTGAGCAAACACCAATCAAAATAGGTTTTTAGTTGACCGATTTCATTGAAAAGTCATTTTTAGATGGAGGGATTAAGAGCTAAATACAGCAAGCAGATTGTTTAGACAAGATACAGTCTGGAAATATATTAAAAAAAAAGACTGCGAAATATAAAGAGGATTAAGAATTGTTTGTAAACAGGGCCAAAATTTTAAACAGGTTCTGAGCAAAAAGCTGTTTCACTTCTCCACAACAGAGCAAAACTGGATGCAGTCAAATGCAGGCACAATTATTAATGACACGTACTGCTTAGCTATGCTCTCTGAAGTGCATTTCCTTCTCCAAGAACAGTTCTCACACGATTTTGCTATGGCAGCATTATGAAGTAAACAAGTCTGATGTACAGCATGCTACACTGATGCAGTCTCACACCTTTCAGGGTTCTGTCACTTGCTTTGTTGCTCCCCTAACTAAAAATAAGAACTAAACTGCAAAAAAACCCAAGCTGCAAAACATCTACACACAGAGCAGCTCTGTAGACAGCATCTATGTGAATCCCATGAGCCTGTTTCTCAAGTCATATGCCACCAAAGGACTCAAATGCACTAGAACAAGACCAAGAAGATGCCCAGAAAAGGTTTCTTTTCCCACTTTGTGCACCACTTTATCAATTCAGGTGCTTGAAGAGACACTTAGAAGGACAACAAATGCAAGGGCAAATACCAGGACCAATTGTGCTGTGAGGCTGTTACATGCAGACATGAGCCCAAAGCGCAATACACTTTCACAAGTTCAAAAACCCTCATAGAACTGGTATTTCCCCCAAATAGATTTCACCAGTAAACTGATCTCCAAATGTAAAACATACTTGGATTTATTGATGGCTCTTTTCAGCTTCTTCTCCAGTTGTTTCATCCTTCCCATGGCAGCATTGTATTTGGCTGCAGTCTCCTTGTGAACCAACTCACTTCTTGTTTTGGTCTGCTCTGCCTCCATGACCTTCAAGAGGAAAAAGACCAGGTTGAGTGCCAAAACACAATGATGCATTTCTTATCCTTTTAATTAACAGCAACTTCATAATCTCTCCAATCAGCTTATGTCAGGAAAGTGAGGGTATAGAAAAAATTACTTTTGATGAACCTACTTAGGTTTTTCCTGAGAAAAGCAGCAATATATCAGATTTGCAAACAGTGTTAATTATGACAGAGGTGTTGTAGCTCCGTGCATAATATCTCTTACAGGAAGTTCAGAAAAGCCTCAGATTTTGGGATAATCCATTTTTTAAGGCAAGTTAAATAATCACAAATGGAGCAACGCTAGCAGAAGTCACCCAGTTGCATTCAACAGCAATATTTGTTTCCTCCTGCCTGACTTTCCCAGTAGAGAGCTGGCAGGTTGCTCAGCTGTCAGCTGCAGCCCCACCACTCTGGAAAGGGCTGAAGACCAACCACAGGAGAGGAAAGACTCAAATACAGCTCAACCTGAATCACCAATCACTAGAAAATACCGTGTCCAAGATGGCTCTTCTCTTAAGACAGCTGACCAGCCTCAAATCACAGTTGCAACACTCAAAATGCAGAGGTTCGAGCCCTGAGCTGACAACCCTATCATGTAGACAAGGAAATGCTGATGACCAGCCCACTATTCTATTGTATCAAGACACTGAGGTGCTGGAGCATGTCTAGAGAAGTCTGAGCACTAGTCCAATGAGACCTGGGAACTGAGGGAACCGAGGCTGTTCAGTCTGGAGGAAAGGATGGTTGCCTCTACAACTACCTGAAAGGAAGGTGCAACAAGGTGTGGATTGGTCTCTTCTCCCAAGTAACATGCTAGAGAAGAAGAGGAAATGGCCTCGAGTTGTACCAGGGTAGGTTTAGATTGAATAGTAGGAAAATGTCTTCAGTGAAAGGGTGGTCAAGCACTGGAACAGGCTGTCCAGGGAAATGATCCCTGGAGGTATTTAAAAGACATGCAGATGAGGCACTTAGGGAGATGGTTAATGGTGGACTTGGCAGTGCTGAGTTAGTGGTTGGAGTGATATCTGCTGAGTTAGTGGTTGGACTCAATGATATTAGAGGCCATTTCAAAAATACTCTGATTCTAACCAGGCAGGCAGATGCTTAACATGCAGCAGTCCAGGCCCAGCACATCAGCTGCTTTCCACAGCCAGCCCAGACCTTCCCCAGCCAGTCAGGCTGCAGCCCTGCACATAAGCTAGCAAATTCTTCAAGCAATCATTTCTTCAAAGCTTTATAAACAAATGCTCACTGCTGTGGCATTTTCCAGCAATTAGGAGTCTACAAAAGCAACAGGAAAAGTAAATGTCTCTCCATTAGCTATGCTGCTGGTATCCCATAGTCATGCTTTGCCAGTAATTGTATCCAGGTTACTTTTATTGTCCAAATTTGAGATGTCTGAGGTGTAGGTCAGAAAATGTGTTTTATTTAATGTACTAGCAGTCAAGATCCAAGCAGGGAGATTTGTTTAAAGTAAGAAAAGTGGTGACACCTCTTTGTTGATCTGGCAATGAGGGGTAAGCAGGCAATTTTTTCAAACTTCCTTTCTTGTAGCTATGAAGGTATTCATACAAAAAGTGACTTGATTTTCTCCAGTACTGGATTTTGAAATGTCTCAGCTGTGATAGCAACGACTTTGCAACTTGAAGCAAATTGATCCAACTGGCTCCCACCATCAGACTGTGCATCTGAGCTCTCAGATGCAGAGAAAGAGAGAGAACATTCAAGATACCTTGATTTTAAAAAACCTCACCCACAAAGCTCTAATTTTTTGAAAAAGTACTCTAGACCTCCTAGCCCTCAGGCTGAACTGAACAGGGAAAAGAGAGTCAGCTTCAACTTGCTTGGGACACTGCTCCTCTCAGGATAAGCATGAAATTGCCAAAGTTAAATTTCATCACCAATCAACAAATAGCTCTTGCTGCCACAACTGGAGGCCACTTTCTGCTCGTTTGCACACACTACCATTATTAAACAAAGAAGTTGCTACAGAACTTTCAACTATGAGAAAGAAAGATTTCCAAAGGATCTTTTGATTAGGTATAAAATAGTGTACTCAACTCCAACACCCTTCAGCTGTTTTATATAGATAAGGCATCCACTTTCAAAGAAAGGTCAAAAACCCCTCAAAACTTATATAGATAAGGCATCCACTTTCAAAGCAAGGTCAAAACCCCCTCAAAACCATAAGATTCATGACAGACTCTCTCCTAAATCCTGAAAACAAGCTGCAGCCTCTTATCTCAAGCACTGTTTGAAAGCCAGGTTGGTGCAATGATTTTCCTTAGTGAAACATGTCAGACAAGGCTGATTTTAGAGTGGAAGTATCTTAAATTAAAATGCAGCCTCCAAAGGACTCCACAGAGGCTGGTTTGCCTTCTTTGTAGTGTGGCAAGGAAACAGCAATTTAAAAATGCCAGAAGCTACAAAATAACAGAGTGGCTGGAATTTGCCAGTGCTCAAATACACGTCAATCTCTTGCACCCATTCTTGGAGCAAAATTAGCATAGACTGCCAGTGCTCAAATACACGTCAATCTCTAGCACCCATTCCTGGAGCAAAATTAGCATAGACCTTGATATCTGGGATAAATCACATGATAAGTACTACCAGCATCAGGGTTGTAAAGCAGGCTAGGTGTCCAGTATCATGTTGATTTCTCGTATCTTTCATATCAAGCATCACAGAAATGCTGAACCCTGCAGAACTGGGATTTCATGATGACAGATCATAAACATCTCAAAACATCTAACAAAATATGGAATTTGTTGCCAGCCACATATACTCATGCTCATTACCCTTTCCAGAATGAAAGGGGGGACGACAAAGGCTATATATTTCACCCTTATGAGAAATCAGTGATGTAAGAAAAACTCTCCCCCACACACCTTGTTTTCCTATGGGCATTCTGTCATCATGATCACATTACCCGCACACGTCTGCAGAGACAGCTTGTCCCCTTCCCTCTGGGACAGCAGCTCAAGGTGCATGCCCAAGGCTGAGGAAGATGCCTGGAAGATTGTGAGGTATCTCTGTGGAAATCCATCACCTGCCAAAATGCATTTAAGCACTTCATACAGACAAGAAGAAACAAATCAGACCATCCATCTCTCAAAAAAAAAGCCAAACAACCTTTAAATGGAGAAGCTGTCCAGGTAGACAGAAACAGACTGCAAAGCATGCTGCTGCCTCTACATCTGGGACATTCAGTGTAAGACCAACTAGGGAAACTCCTCGCCTCTTAAAAAGGTCTTAGAAGACAGACAGACTTGTATGGAAAATAAGTACTTTTTATCAGTCATAAGACATTTGGCAGGGAAAAAAAGCAGTCTTACATGGACTTCTAAACAAGCTTTCGGCCACAGTTACCAAAGAAGCAGCTTTGTCTAATTAAAAGTGCTTCTACCACTTCTACTACCAACCTTGCCTTGTAGATGATTCTAAGCCATCACAGATGCAACAGCATCACTTAGAAAAAAGCAGAGAGAAAAGTGAGGATGATACCTCTTCACACAATGACTGCTCAAGACACATCTCACTTCCTTAGACTGTACCTGCCATTCACACCCTTGGGGTGAGCAGGGGACATACTCTTACACAAAAACATCCAGAGTGGATGAACTTCTGGGATGCCCACACATTCACTGGACATTTCTTTAGCCCATGCCTGTCCCCAACTACTAGATCACCTACTCCAGGCAGAACTTGCTCTCTCAGGTAGATACAACTACTGGAAAACAAAACAAATAAAACCCCCTAACATAGATATCAATCAATTTTTCTTCTCTCCTTCCCTATCCTCTATTTTCAAGCCAGTTTTTTGTGAAAGGAAGGTCAGTGTAGAGTATATATTTACCACGAATAAGTCAGTACAAGTAGCTTCATTCCAGACAAAATATTTCCATGATCTGAAGTAAAAAATTAACTCCAGACAAAATGTCAATAATAACAACAGATGCACAAGAAAAATTATACCAGTGGAGTTAGGCAAAGCTGACCATCTAAGCCAGAGGATTACTCTGGACAACTGTTTCTTTCTCAAAAAATTAAATTGATTGTTCTTCTAGAGGAAGAATTTTAAGTAAAAGGGAAGAGACAATGCAAGATCAGTAAATCACAAAGAGAGAATCAACAATACAAGGGATTGCACAAAACCCCTACATTTCCAGGGTAAAGTGACAGGGAGCTTAGGACAAGGAAGGATGTGATATTTTTGCTGTTTCTTTCACAGACTTTTCCCCCTTTTTTCTCTCCAAGTTTTTCTAGCTTCAGGAAGTCTCTCTCCACTCTACATCATGAAAGCACCCACACATTTTACACTGACAGATGGTACTTCACGGTGTAATATCAAAGGGAGCTTCACAAGCCAAATTAATCCAAGAGGGAGCATGCCTCCTTCCTCTTTACTCTCCCCTCATCCTTTCCTTTTTAAAATGTCTCATGATCAAGAGCCAAAACATTTCTTCTCCCTGCCAGAATTTATGAACTGAACATATCTTAGGAAAGACTGTAAAAGCAGAAGCTTTTTAAGACTGCAGATTGCATCAGCAATTAGAAATTAGCAATTTCTCTTGAAATTCATGAAGGATCTTCCTTTCTGCTCCAGCTTGTCTCAAACTTGAGGTAATACATCTGTCAGTACTCTCCTTTTGTACATTTTTATGAATTATTTTCAACAGGAGTATAAAACTGAAGATCTTTCTCCTCCATCCCTCCAAAATTCCACATCCTTTGGTCCTTTCATAGCCCTGCTCTCTGCACCCCAAACTGCAGTATTGTAATTCAAGGTACTAGCAGACAAGTAACATATTCTGCTTCCCAAAAACATCAGCTCCAAATTTTAAAGACAAACTGAAGTTGCCAAAACCCAATGGCTAACAGTGGACAGTACTTTTCTCCAGGAAGCTTAAGAGCTCATCAAACCTGTCAACATTTCCATTATAATCAACAGAGAATTCATTTTACATTGAACTTGCCTCTCTGGACACATGAATTTTTCTCCAGACACCATCCACTTACTGAAAAACCTCTTTTCATTATAATCAAACTTTTGGAGAGTAACTGCAACAAAGTCATGTTCTAGACACCTGAAACTGATGAGCTAAATTCCAGCCTGAGAGTCATTACACTTCTCTCAGATCTGTGGAAAAATGAACATCAAGGAAAGAAAACTAAAAACCAAGAGAATTTAGCCCACAAATACACATCAAGTTAAGAACAGAAGTGGGTAAAGCAGTTGTCTGACTTGCAGGATTACCCCACAGTCCTGTGCTACACTGTGGTCAACACATAGCTCAAGCACAGGTATTAGCTCAAGAACAGATATTTACAGGGATCAGTTGCATCCTCACAGGCAGGCAGGCATCCAGCTCCTGTTTATGCACCCAGCTTCCTTTGGAAACATAGCTTAGACTGCAAGGTGTGAAAAAACTCTGGGTGACAGCCTGTACTCTCTGTACCTGTTCATGCTGGTCCTGCTCACTCCATGAATAGAAAGGCCTTCCACATATTATGCTTCCAGCCCACCCAGGATAAGCAAAATATCAATAACTCTCCCATCTTGCATCAGTTGAATGACATGATTTGCTGTATCAGTGGCTACAAAAGCCTTCTTTACAGTAATCTGTTAGACTGTCATATTAAAAATATTGTTAATAGCTTTCCAGTCTATCAAGACATCAAAAAGCAATTACAACATGCAACCCTTATCTCTATTTCCTCCCAGTGAGGGTCTGGAAACAGCATTTCCTGTTTGGTACTATGGAACCAAGTCTTTGTCCGTATCCATTGGGTCAAGTGCAGAAGTAATTTGGCAGCATTTTGACATGAGTGTATAAAAATTAAGTCTTTCATTTGTTCTCTTGCCTACCCTTTTTCCTTATGCTTTCTGTTTGCATTGTTTGTCAGCTACCAAGCTGCTACAGGGCTCAGGTTTTGTTCCAAACTTCAGATTAATTCAATAAAGCCTGCTGCCTCTGCCTAAGAACAACAAATAAAAACACTTTACTCTTGCCTGACATTTCTCTCCAGAGAGAAACAAATGAATCAGTAGCCTACTTCTAACATTTGGCTCAGAGTTCATTTCTGCACCCAATTCCTTGCTATACAAGGCCCAGTGCAAGATTATTCTCTGCCCAGTACAACTGTCATTTATAAACACATGCAAAAAAACCTATACAATCCAAATACCTAGAGTGCAAGAGCTTTCTCCAAGACTGATTTTATATGTGTAAGTAGAAGAATTCTATTTCTTAACCCTCAGCCTTCACCCTCAGAAACATTTTCCATTAGTGATTTCTAACATAATGAACAATTAATGATCCAAGTTATCAGCAACACTGTGGCAATCAAGGAGAACTTTTGTTCTAGTAGATCTCATGCTCCAGTCTGTTTTCATCCATAGTTTCATAGGGATGCTTTCTGCTCTCCGAGATCCCAATTATTCTGTTTGCCTCAATGAACACTAAGCACTTCATTAACTGCATGAACTGCAGCCAAGGAAGTTTTCGTTCCACTCTTGGAGATATAAAACTCAGTCAAGCACACAGTAAAACAAATACTGGATCTGTTCAGTTAGGACTTTCAACAATATTTTCACCCCTCTTGGCTCTGGTCCTAGCCTTAAGACCTCCAGTATTGAGACAAACTTCCATGCAGCTCTCTCAAAATCTGCTGCACCCTGGAAAGCTGCATATGAGTGCTTCCTGGGAACTGGGCTTACCCAGACTATTTTAAGCACGAGGAATTGTTGAGTAATAAGTTTACCATTCAAGGAGTCCTCAGCTACTCTATACAGTTCAGTCAGTGCCTAGGATAAATCACTGGGTTTGCTCATCTCAGGTGTACACCTCTCACAGACTGTCAGGGAAGGGTTGTAGAAGGACACAGTGATCCCCTTGAAATAGCCAAGAAGAATCTGCTTGAACTCTCAAAATTGCTAGTGTTTCTTTCTTCACCCACCCCCACAAAAGTTTTTGCTATGTCAGCTAGACAGAGGTGGCTGACATGTGACTGCTGTCGCTCTCCACCAAAACTCAGCAGTTTAGCAGTCAGGACCTCTAAGCAACTCTTCAGACGCTTGCAGTTTTCTCACCTATCAGTTCTGAGAATCAAAAATCCCTTATGCATTTCTGGACTTTGCTCATATTGAAGAGGGATAACACTAGGGAACATGACAGCTGCAGGTGTCCTGGCACGCATGCACTGCAAAGTTGAGGCTCCCCTCAGAAACACACAGAGGTTACCAGATCTGCAAATACCGAATAATAACAGGGATAATAACACAAATAATACCCTCATACCCTGGAGTTTGTTTTCTCTTTTTATTTTTTTCAATATATACTGGGTTTTCCATCTCTCTCCTACACACAGCCAACATCCCTTCTGTTCCTTGTTTCTCCATGAGGCAGCTGGTTTTTACAATTCCCTCTGAAATAGAGGCTTTCTTAGAACTGAGAAGCTTCTGCAACAGAACAGAGCTACTGCATTGAGGGCTGCAAGACAATATGAACATTGTGTGGCACGCTAGCATATTTGGAATAGCAAGTTCAGCTTCACTGGCATATTAAGGAAACTCTGACAGAACAAAGGTTTTTAACTTCGATCTTTGGTTCTTTTATGTTAAAAAACCTTTCTGCATTTTTTTTTCAACAGACAGGAAAGAAGAGACACATAAATGATAGAAAAATTCTTCTTGACAGCTGCTAAAAAGAATACTGCCTTTCTTTGTTAGATGGTGTATCTCTTCTGTGGGTTTAAAAAGACTTTACAAAGGAGGTAAGACCTTGTCTAAATTTGAAATCTAATTCAGGATAAAGCAGTGTGCAAGCTTAAAATGTAACACACATTTTCAAGTAATTCCACATTCAAACACGCATTTCTGAAGCAAAGTGCCTTGTTCAACTTATTCCATACTAAAACTGGAACATGTCCCTGTTTTTCCAAGGTGAGAGCTCAGGGTGAGCACAGTGCACAGCACCTGTGTGGGGCTGACGTGTGTGCAGGGCACCAGTGTGAGCTGTATGCTTGTGCCAGCAGGAGGTTGTGCAGATTGCTTTTGCAAACAGGCCATGTGCATGTGCAAGGCACTGGTGCAAGGATGTGCACATAGGGCATGTGTGCTGGGCACAGATGTGAGCATACAAGCAGGGGGTGGGTGCAGAGCAGGACTGTGAGAAGCATGGAAGCACTGAGAGTGTCAAACATGCAGGGCCCCAGCGAGCGTGAGAGTGTGCACATTTCTTTATCTATAAGGATATTATAGATAGATAGATACATAGATACATAGATAGACAGATATGAATGAGTTACCACACAACTGCAGCTATTTAATTTCTGCACCAACTTAACCCACAGTGACCACCATGTGCAAGAATAGGCAACAGCAAAATAGGCAGGCAACCAACTACTGCAGAGTGGCTGTGGGTGGGTAACCTGCACCTTGTTGCTTAGTCTATTGTAACTTGTCTACCTGTTCCAAAAGAGTAACCATGAAGATGGAAGTCACTGGACTGAATGTTGCATGCAGGTGTATTCAGGAACAGTCATCCCCATGCAATTATTATGGCTGAATTCCAAATGTAGATATGCCTCAAGACATTGTTTATCCCTATTATATAGATGGTAATTTTGTTCTGTAGAGAGCTGCTCCACTACCTACTAGCACAGTCAGAGAACTGTAGTTGTGCCAGTAGCAGCCCAAGGCCCAAATGATTTAACTTTATGCTTCATAATTTTATGTAGCTTCATTTCCTACAGGTCATATATCTGGACCAAAAGAATAATTTTGTCTTTCAAAAACTCATACACCACAGGAGAACACACAGTATGGAAAAGACAGATGCTGGGGCAAGTTTGTATTACCCTCTGAGTAGCATGGTTGAGCATCTCTTGCCAGGCAGAGTCAAACTGACGTTTGTCATCTTCCAGTAGCCTCTGCTCAGCAAGTGAAATGGTCTCCTTTGCAGCACGCAGCACTTCAGTGGCCCTCTGAAAGTCCTGAGTTGCCCTCTGAGCTTCCAGTTGTGCCTAAAGGAAATCAAGAGGGGAAAAAAAAAAAGAAAGAAAAAATTGGGATCAGAGATAAAGGAACCCTCACAGTCACATTTAGAACATCTACAACACTAATCACAGGACTTTAAAAGCACCACACCAGTGTCACTGTTTCTCAACCTTTTACTTGGAAGCGACACATATTCCTCACTGGAATAAGTACTGCTAAGGCAGCAGTTCCCACCCAAACAGGTAATTTGCCAAGAACTGTCTCATGATGTTAGTGGTCAAAAAATGCACAGCTGATGGCCTGCAAATAAGCACCTGACTGAGAGATAAATACCTTATGATGTAGGTTTAGTCACTGAGAAACAAAACAAAAGAAAATGCAATTTCAAACTTGTAGCATGTCAAGAATACATTGAGAATGGCACTCCCTGAGTTTAGTCAGGGTGGATTTTTATCTGATGCACCATTAATCATGCTGAGGAAATATTTTGGAAGTATTACATCGGTATAAAGCTTAAACAAGTTTTCTGAGATGGTGGCTGCTAATTCTTTGTACATTCTTCTACTTTGCTACTGCTGGGACAAAGCTGGTGCAGCAAGTTCCCAGTACAGACATGGAGTTAACCAAGGGAATTTGCAATGCATGTAAAAACCTGATAAAGGCCCTGCTATGTCCTTTGGAAATTGCTGCTTCTTTGCAGCAAAGCAACACAAAGTTTGAGCTTGAAGGAAGCACTTGTGTCTACATGGAAGCAGGGGAGAACAGTTTTCAGGTGAACTATGTGGTTCTTGTTGCAATAGCAGAGACTCCTCCAAAACAACACACCACAACCTTTCTAGCAAAGCAAGTGCTGCTTAGAAGCCATCTAATCAATGAGCTGTGATCTCTTCTATTCCGGGCCAAAAAAATTCTCAGAGACACTGCACAGACCACCTTCATCTCTCCTGGAGATTTTAACAAGGCTCTCACTCTATCCAAATCTGACTTTGAACAGTCCTCATGTAAGATGCTCCCATCCCATCTTGCAGGCTGGAGCCATCTCCCTTTTTCATGGCTGAGTGTTAGTCCTCCAGAGTCAGCAACAAGCCCTTGCCTATTCAGCCCAAAAAGGGAGAGCAGCCAATAAAGCAGAAAAAATGTCATTCATACCAGAGACTTCAGTAATATCATAACACAGTTCAGCAGTGTCACACTTTAGTACCACTAGACAAGCTTTAAATGTTTAAAATAAGTGACTTTACAATGAATAGAAAAAGAATATCCATAAACCAATTATTGGTGTTGGCTGGGTTTTGCTTGTTTGGTTTTTTTAATAAGATAGAGATGTTCTCTCTTTTTATAGTTATCATTGAATGACTAGCAACTTCAACATTCAGGCTTTCAAACTTGCAGGTTTCACATTGTTTTCCTTCATCAGAAATTTTTAATTTCTGAAATATTTGTGTTCATCTGCTTGTCTCTTAACTATATCAGCATTTTACGGCTCTGGAGCCTTTTTGAGGTTGATATAAGTACCTTGTTTAGCTCAAAAGCGAAATCTTTACCTGAATGTATCTACATTATATATCTCATAAATTTCTATTTAAAGGAGGATTTTTGAGCTGTTTTGCATTGAAACACCACCCTGCCAATTTAAGCCTCACATTCAATTAACAGAACATCCAGCACCGTGAAGACAGTTTTCATTTACACTACAATGATTTTTCAAAAATAAACTGCAATTACCCAGTTTAGACATTAGAGAAATGTCTTTGACATGACTGATAGAACAAAATAATGAATAAAACTTTACATCTAATATACATAGGAGTCTGAGGCTGAAACAGGGGAAAGGACTCTGACATACAGAATACTAAATTAAGGAACATAAAGTCTTATGAATAAAGGAAGAGGTTTCGCTGTGAAGAAATGGTGGTCATTTGGGAAGTGGTTGAAAATGGGAAACAAGTAGAACAATGCTGCATTTTTCCAGCAAACAGCTGGCTACACCTCTTCAAAACCTGCTGCATCAAATACCTTCACACTTGAGACATCACAATTACTTGTAAAGGTAATGGAAAAAACCCTTCCCTCCCTGCCCTGTGGCAGGGGAGATGGGCTCCTAGTTTAAACACAGGTCTTGAAAGGAAATAAAGCACATTAAGTTTCCCTCACAATGCCCTGAAATAGCAGCAAGCTCTTCTTACTTCCTTCCCCCTCTCACGCAGAGAGGTACTTCACCCCAAAGTGACCATGGAAAAATAGGAGTTGTGTGTCAGAGGTCCTTCAGTTACTAGCTAGAGAGGGAAATCAAAGTCATCACAATCAGTGCAGTAATTTCCTTCCAACCAAGGTCCCTGATGCATTTCCTTCTGAAGTGGCTGCTAGTGTTTTCCACAGAAGAGAAATTTGTCTATCCATGCTCTTTTCTGCTTTCAGGCAGCCAACACCACATCACCCTGCCTAAGGCCTTTGTGAAGAGCCAGGGCATTAAACTGCACATTCCAAAGCAACACAGAGCTTTGAGCCAATATTAGTGGATGAACAGCATCCTGGTCTAAGTTCAGTGCTAATACAGTCTCTTTTTCTCTTTGAAAAAAATCCACACACATTACATCTCCTTCTCCCCAGTCACCGACTGCCTGTTTCAAATGTATTAACATACATTGCATAAATTCAGAATAAGCCTGACTAGAGAATATTTTAATTTAGCCACTAAGCTAAACCATGATACCTAGCAAGCACAGGAAAGCCATCTGAGGATCTTTAAACAAGGCTCAATGTAAGATTCCAACAAAAGACACAGTAAGAAGCCTGAATCTTAGTCCCCAAAATATCTTCTACTGAACTCTTGAAAAAATTCACAACTTTCTTCTTTTCAATAAATCTGACCTATGCTAGTAGAGGGATCTAATGAAGGCCAAAACTTTCCCATAAAATAGTTTGAGATGGGATTTTAAGAAGTAAAATAAAATGCAAGACTCCACTGAGAGCCTGCACCAACTACTGCACAACAGTGCTGAGGATGCTTGGAGGAAGAGCAGGACTGATTTTCATGGAATACCCTGTGAGAGGGATCCAAGTCCCAGTAATTTCCAGCAATAAGGTTGTGAAGGTGGCTTCAGCTCCATGGCTGCCTCACTGCATGAGCAGGCCTGCCTGTGCAAGAAATGACTTACAAACACATGAAAACAGACTGGAGACCCATTCCTAGCACAGGCAGAACCTCATCAGCAAGTAGCTGCTTTCGAAACTCCAGTAAAACCAGATCCCAAGGGCAATGCAAGTGCAAAAGTAAAGTTTTCTCACTGCAACTGCATCAGCACTTGAAAAGTTTCTGTTGGCACAGATACCTGGGTCAGGGATCAAGACATCTAAGCCAGCAAAAAGCCTGCAGAGCATTAGGAGCTGAGTTAATAAATCCACATGGAAACAACATTTACTGGTAGCTCTTCTGATGAAGCCTCTAAAGCACAGTTGGCTGCACTGCAGGAAAATGGCCTTTATGGTAAGAAAACCAGAAACCAAATTTACAATTCGGCTAGATTTCTACATGCACCTGGACTTGAAGGACATCAAGAGCTGAAGCTGTTAGCAGGCAGGCCCATAACTCTGGGTCCATAATCCATTCAGCTTCATGCCCTGTAACTGTGCAGGCAAATAGAAACAAGACCATACTTAAATACTCCCTCCCAGCTGCATTTGTTGAATAGTACTCTGCAATGGCAATTTTGAAACACCACTTTGTTTTTAAGGAACACAGTTAGTCCAAATAACAATTTAGCTTCAACATTTATCTGGAGTCAGTCTACTTTAAGTCTATTTTAAGCAACTTACTGAAAGTCTGGGAAAGAAAGAGCCAAATGCTAGGGTAAAGAATGATACATTTGTCGTTAGAAAAACATCAACAGGTTTGTGGCTTTGCCAGTGTGAAAAAGGATAGTCAAACACTTTTTAGTTAGTACAATTAAGCAATAACTAGCCTTCACTTAAAACTCCCTTCAGCACATACAAGTTGTTCTGCACCATCACCAACAGGTTGCTCTCACATTTTTGGTCCCAAGCTTGCAGGTTGCTCATTTGATAGAACAGAGAGCCATGTATTCCTGTGCTTTTAAAACTCTAGAGAACAGGAGCTCGTGGCTCCATCCAACCTCCTTATGTTGCCTATGAAGTTTATCCCTTCAGACAGTGGCTGTTTCTCTCAAAAGACAGGAATTCAAAATTCAAATGAATGGCTGAAAACTAGGTTGTTGTTTTTTTTTCATCACAAACTTGTGTTTGAGTTGAGAGAGGTTTACCCCTCAGGTAGAATGAGGCAAAATGAGGACAAAAATCTGAGGGAGGTTGGAAGCAAGTGGGATGTCACCTTTCTGCCTGTCATTCATATCATTGTGCTTGATGGATACTACCTGATATAGAAGTATCTCTTTCAAAACAGTCAGAAGGAGCTAGGTCAGTGAAATCTGTTATTGAAAATAAGGAAGTCTTGACACCTTGGGAACTGGGGATCCTGTGCCCCAGCTCCCACTGCCACTGTGACACTGCTCACTGTGGCTTCATGATCAGTGCTCTCTGCCAGGAAACTCAGCTGGATGTCTTCACCACTGCAGACCCTTCCCCTATTAGTGTAAAATATAAAATGGGGCTCCTTGAGAAACAGTTAAGTGGCCACAGAGATTTAAGCTAAGGAGAATCCCACCATCACAGCAGTCTCTGTCACACCCCATCCACACAGAGCACCAATTCTTCCTGCCTCTGTGCTCAGCCCTCCTCTGCAACTTAGTACTCTATGAGCCACCTGCTACAAACAAGTCTCCCCCAATGATAAATCCCTTCCCTACAAGAAGCAGCACACCCAAAAGTCCTGCTCTGCCCACTCAGCCCCCTCCTTATGGCTAAAAGCTCATCCACCACGTAGCCCTGGCTCTGATAGGCACATCCCCTGAAATTCCCAGGCAACTCCCAAAGACTCAGAGGTAACATGCAGTAGCAGCACTCACAGAAGCAAATGGAGCAGTGTGATATAAAACATGGTAACTTCAAA